AAAAGTCATTGTATGGGTTAAAACAATCTTTGAGGACATGGTTTGGGAGGTTCACCAAAGCTATGAAGTTTTTTAACTACCATTAGAGCAATTCATATCACACTCTGTTTTTTTTAAAACGACATGGAAAGATCACTACACTTATTGTGTATGTGGATGACATGGTGGTTACAGAAATGATCCAAAAGAAAGGAAGGCTCTATGAAAGTACTTATCAAAAGAATTCGAGATGAAGGACTTAGGTTCTTTGAAATATTTTCTCAAAATCAAAGTGTCTCGATCTAACTATCACAAAGAAAGTATGCCTTGGATATACTACAAGAAACTAGTTTGTCAGCATGTCAACTAGCTGATACAACAATCGAAGAAATTTTGAAATTAGGAATCGAGACTGATCAAGTACCAGTTGACAAAGGGAGATACTAGAGACTTGTGGGAATATTGATGTATTTGTCTTACACTAGGCCAGATCTTACTTATGCATTGAGTATAGTGAGTCAGTTCATGCATAATCCTGGAGAGCAGCATATGAACGCAATTATGCGTATCTTGAGATATTTGAAACATGCTCCTAGAAAGGGAATCTTATTTTCTAAAAACAAGGACGACCAAAATGTGAATGCATATACTGATGCTGATTGGGCTGGAGCAGTGGATGACAGATGATCTACTTCTGGTTATTTCACTTTTGTCGGAGGTAATCTAGTCACGTGGGGAAGCAAGAAACATAATGTTGTGGCATGCTCAAGCATTGAAGCAAAATTTAGGGGAATGACACCTGGGATTTGTGAAGCTTTGTGGCTAAGATTTCTATTGCAAAATTTGGGCTATCAACCTAATTAACCAATCCAGTTATATTGTGACAATAAAGCAGCATGTGATATTGCTCACAATCCAGTTCAAGATGATTGTACGAAGCATGTTGAAGTAGATAAATTTTGTAATTGTAATTGACATAATTATGAGATATGTAGACTGTATCTCCCCTATATAAAGCCTGTAACTATCAGTGTAAATATCAATGAATTGAAATGTCCAATTTTTCACACATTTTTTACTATTAATAATTTGAGTGCCGCCTTAGATCAACTTACTCTAAAGTCTAAACTAATCCACAAGCAAAGCAAGACTAAATAATGCAATTATGCAAACCACACCCACAGCCTTGAAAGAAAAATTTCAATAAAATTCCAACTTGTAAATTGTATTTTAGTTTAGTTTAATACAGAAGCAGCTATGTTTGTGTCTTCAACAATCATGTCCTTAGGAAAATTCACTTTTGGAAAAGCATGATCGACTAGAAATAACAAACAATAAACTGAAAATAAAAAAAACAAAAGTGTTTTGATTTCAAAAGGAAGGCTCGGATTGAAAAAACCAAGCAATTTGAAGTTGAAGCATCGAAAGTTGGATAATCTAGAAACTAGAATCCAATGGTTGAGAATGGAAAAGCCACACATTTAAGGCTCCATAGTATCATTCTTCACGCTTTCAAGTTATAAAAGCCTTGGGTGATCTAGAGTTCTTCAATATCATTTTTCCATTGTTATTGGAGATGTGCAATTCAATAGTTATTGTATTGATACATCTGGGTTCTAAACAAGTTCCTCACTCAACCATAGTTTTCAATTCAGATGTCAGAATTCTTGTTTTTGCTAAGACTTATGAGATTGAAATAGGCTGAGATAAAGATACAGAGTTATTCAAATAACTAGATGGAAAGCCCGCGCGTTGCGCGGGTATGTTTATTATATATATTTTTACATTATTATTGGTTTTTCGTGTTTTAAATATATATTTTATGTATTGAAGTTCATTTTATATTGAATTGATAATTAAAAAATCAAAAAAATAAAATATCCGCAAATTTAACTCAAAAGTCTATATCATCATGGTTCTTCTCAAATTTTTCACCATTTGATGTCAGCAATCAAAGTTTAAAACTTTTTCAAGAAAAGTAAAAAAATTTGCAGGATAACCCACTGGGTATTATTGATAAGTCTATAAATCAATCAGAGAAAGAGAAACCTTGCTGAAAAATGTGAACTTTTAAGCAAGAGACATACAGAGCCAAAAGAAAAAACTGATTTTGATTGTTGAGAAGAGAAAATGAATTATTTTTATTATTATTATTTCAGAAATAAAAAAAAAAATTAAGAATGTTAAGAAGAGAACTCATATAGAAAGCAACAATAACTCCAACAGTATAATCTGAAGGCAACCTAATTGAAGCATTGAAGAAGCCATGAAGATAAAGGTCCTGTAACACAAATCCATTTGCTGCAGTTAGAATTGATCACCACATATAGCAAAAAAAGCATTTGATGATAGCATCCTAAAGAAAGACGATAATTGTAAAACCCACAAAATCCACAAATCAAACAAAAAAATCAATCCAAAAATCAACAAAAAGAGATAGAAAAAATACAATTAAAAATACATATCAATATTTATTTTCCTTTGTCATCACTAAAATTGAATTTTTTTTTTATGTGTGTGATGAGAAAATTAATGGTTCGGCAGCAGGTCTATAGTTATCAAAATTCAGCATGTGTGTGTGTGTGTGTGTATATATATATATATATATATATATATAATTAAAGCCCTATCTTTCTAGTTTTCAATTATTCAAACTGCTCATCAATTGGATTTTTATTGAGTAAGTTATGGCTAATTTACTATTGACTGTTTAATGGAAATCGAGAAACATAAGAAATCGAAATGTGTGTAATGATAAAAGGAATGGTTGGGAAGTGGAGTAAAATTTATCCAAATTAAGCGTATAATATATCAAATTAAAGCACTGTCTATCTAGTTTCTAAAGATTCAAACCTCTTATCAATTGTAGTTTTATTGAGCAAGTTATAGTCAATTTACTATTAACTGTTCAGTGGAAACCGAAATGTGTGTGATGATAAAAAGAATAGTTCATCAGTGGGGCTACAGTTATCCAAATTAAGCATGTGATATATCAAATTAAAGCCTTATCTGTCTAGTTTCTAACGGTTCAAACCTCTCATAAATTGGATTTTTATTGAGCAAGTTATGGTCAATTTACTATTGATTGTTTAGTGGAAACCGAAATGTATGTGATGATAAAATGAATGGTTTACTAAAGCTACATGGTTCGGCATTAAACATCAATTGATATTTGTTAAACAAATAAAATCAGTTATATTTAGCAACAACCTCTTTTCATGATATACGTATGCAACATAAAAAAAAAAAAATATCAACAAAAAGAGATAGAACAATTACAATTAAAACTATATATCAATATTTGTTTCATTTAAGAATAATAATAATGGTTTGACATATTACAAATGGTTTACTAAAGCTACATGGTTCGGCATCAAATATTAGTTGATATTTGTTAAATAAATGAAATTAGTTATATTTAGCAACAACCTCTTTTCAAGATATATGTATGTAACATAAAAAAAAACATCAACAAAAAGAGATAAAACAATTACAATTAAAACTACATATCAATATTTGTTTTCCCTTAAGGATAATAATAATGGTTTGACATATTACAAATGGTTTACTAAAGCTACATCGTTCGGCAACAAATATCAAATGATATTTGTGATACAAATAAAATTGGTTATATTCAACAACAACCTTTTTTCATGATATATGTATGTATATGTAACATAAAAATATATCAACAAAAAGAGATAGAACAAATACAATTAAAACTACATATCAATATTTGTTTTCCTTTGTCATCACTAAAATTGAATTGGTTTTATGTGTGTGATGATAAAATGAATGGTTCGATAGCAGGTGTATAGTTATCTAAATTCATCATGTAATACATCAAATTAAAGCTCTATCTTTCTAGCTAGTTTTTAAAGATCCAAAATGCTCATCAATTGGAGTTTTATTGAGTAAGTTATGGTCAATTTACTACTGACTGTTCAGTAAAAATTGAGAAACAGAGGAAATCAAAATGTGTGTAATGATAAAAGGAATGGTTCGGCAGTGGGTCGAAATTTATCCAAATTAAGTATGTAATATATTAAATTAAAGCCATATCTTTCTAGTTTCTAAAGATTCAAACCTCTCATGTTTTGGAGTTTTATTAGGCAAGTTATTGTCAATTTACTATTGACTGCGCAATGGAAACCAAAATGTGTATGATGATAAAAGGAATGGTTTGGCAGTAGGGCTACAATTATCCAAATTAAGCGTATAATATATCAAATTAAAGCCCTGTTTGTCTAGTTTCTAAAGATTCAAACCTTTAATCAATTGGAGTTTTATTGAGCAAGTTATGGTCAATTTACTACCAACTGTTTAGTGGAAACCAAAATTTGTGTGATGATAAAAAAAATGGTTCGACAGTGGGGCTACAGTTATCCAAATTAAGCATATAATATATTAAATTAAAGTCTTGTCTGTCTAGTTTCTAAGGGTTCAAACCTCTCATCTTAAATTTTTATTGAGCAAGTTATGGTCAATTTACTATTAATTGTTCAGTGAAAACTGAAATATGTGTGATGATAAAATGAATGGTTTACTAAAGCTACATGGTTTGACATTAAACATTAGCTGATTTTTGTTAAACAAATAAAATTAGTTATATTCAGCAACAACCTATTTTCATGATATATGTATGTAACATAAAAAAAATATTAACAAAAAGAGATAAACAAATTACAATTAAAACTACATATCAATATTTGTTTTCCTTTAAGGATAATAATAATGGTTTGGCCTATTACAAATGGTTTACTAAAGCTACATGGTTCGGCATCAAACATCAGTTGATATTTGTTAAACAAATAAAATTAGTTATATTCAGCAACAACCTCTTTTCATAATTTATGCATGTAACATAAAAAACATCAACAAAAAGAGAGAGAATAATTACAATTAAAACTACATATCAATTTTTCCTTTCTCATCACTAAAATTGAATTTGTTTTTATGGCACAAATCCTCGCCTGTTCATCTTGAAACTGTTGAATGATACCAATCCTCGCAGGTCATCATCACTTGATTTTCCTGAAACAGATGAAAATGAAGATGCAAATGCAAAAATGCAAAAGGAAATCAAACAAGACTATAACAATACAACAGCAAATAAATTCCAATCAATTAAAGATGCGCAAAGAAATGCATACATTATCAGCATCAAAAGTTTGATGATAAACTGGAAAAACCAAAAGAAAACAATGACAAATAAGAATTAGAAATTAAACACCCGTCTTTCTTTAGATAAATTGTATAACAAACTATTACATAATGGACATATATATAGAGGATTCAAAGTAATTAATACTGCAACTGATACAATGCATCTTTTCACATTTACAAAAATCAATAATACATGTTATCAATCCATTAGTATTCATGCCTATCCATGCATGTATACCCTTTCACAAAAAAAAAAAATGCGCCACTTCACATTTGCATATACAAAAGCAATATAACCAACAAAACAATTACGGTGGATATGAATGTCAAAAGTTTTTACAAAACAATGAATGCATGCGAATTATCCCAACATTTAATATGAATGTTAATGTGAAAGACTTCTACAAAACATTGAATGTGAATGTGAACGGTTTCTACAAACCAAATAACAATTTGAGCATTTAATGTGAATGTGGATGCGAGAAATTTATACAGATTATTGAATGCGAATGTAAACAATCTATACAAAGCAAATAGGCCAAACACATGTAATTATTATAGAGATCATGCTGGAATCTTACATGGAATTTAAGAGATCCTTGCTGGAATCCTACATGGTGTCCAAATGGTGATCAATAGCAAGAGTGGGCCTTATAATTAAATTAATATATAGATATCTAGATGTTTTAGTATTCTCTCTAAGATGAGAATAGTGTGAAATTGTGGATTGGTTCATCAATGTAAGCTAAATATTATAGACATCAAGCATATGTTTAAGTTTAACCAGGCATCCTCCCTTAAAACCATTTGAATAATTAATTTGAATGTTGCCTTAGATCAACTCACTCTCGACTAATTCCAAGGTTGGCTAGTCCGACCGGTTGGCCGGGCCAAACGGCTAGTGTCCAGCAAACACACCCTTGAGAAGTTACACATATCAGTCCTTACAGGTTTAAGATCTAGCAAACACACCCTTGAGAAATTACCATTAGTCTCTGCACGTTGAATCCAGCAAACACAACCCTGTGATTTTTTACATCCTTTGTCACCTTAATCTAAGAAAATCAAATCTGGACACCCCTTCAATTTAAGAAACAAAGATCATTGCTCCTTCCTCTACGTCGCTGTCTCTTCCTATCGCCCCGAGGTCCATTATTCTTTTCTTTCCTTTTCCTCGCATCGATTTTCTCTTCCACTTCGTTTGATTGTCTTTGGAAGCCATCCACGTAGGCTACATGATTAGCTAGATCTGGCTAACATGGAGCTCACATGGCCAGCCATATTTGGTCGCCTTTGTGGCCTTAATCGGCCAAACCAAGAAAAAAATTGAAAAAAAGAGAAGAATGAGAAGAAAGAAAGAGAGGTGAGGTGAGGTGAGGTGAGGAGAGGAGAGGAGAGGGAAAAAAAGGGAAGAAAACTAGCAACCATAATTGATTTAGTTTAGTCACCAGGCAGGTTCAGCTGACAATTCACTATTTCCACTAGTCCAAATTTGGCCCAAACCGAGTCATAAGCTATAAACAGTTTTTATTATTGTTCGGACTAGATAGGGAGTTGGTTCTCGGTTGGACCGGTTGAACTGGCCTGTCTGGTCTAGGTTTTAAAATATTTGTTACAACACATTATCCATTCTTTAACGGAAGGAGGACAAAATGGTAAACCCAAGGTTTGGCCTAAGTAATTTTTCCACCTAAAAGGTTTGAAAAAACAAATTTCCCACACATCGTTACGATCAATTCGTTAACTTTAACTGAAGGAGGACAAAATGGTAAATTCAATTATTATTATTTTTATTAACCCTTTTTATCTTTCTTCCCCACACCAACCATCGCCTCTCATCCTCCTCCTTCTCAAAAACACCCTTCTTCTTCTCACTCTCTATCTTCTCTCCAAACACCCACTTCCTCCATTTCCTCGCCCCCATGCCAACACCCACTTCCTCCAACACTTTTCTTTTATTCTGTTACCTCTATCTCTAACTCCTTCCTTCTTTTTACAAAGAGAGAGACCACTGTCGTCAGCTACCGGCATTGGAGCAGTCAGTTGCTTTCTCTCTTCTTTTCTTTTCTTTTTCTCTTTCTATCTCCTTTCTCTCTTCCCTTTCCTTTTTTTATCTTCTTCCTTTTAATCTCTTTTTGGTTTCTTAAATCTAAGAAAAAATTCCTTAATTTTTTTCGGTTGAATCCCAAACCTCCCTTATTAAGTAGAGGACAAAAGGCGATTGGGAATGGGGGTGGGAGTTTGTTAGGGGCTGGACCCCGCGATGGCTATGGGAGGTTGCAAGTCCCAGCCTTGATAGGCGACGTGATGCATAAGACTGCCATTTTAAACATTGCGCTAGCCATCTTCTTCAATCTTTTCACCTGCTTCTTTCTTCATTATCATTTGTAGTTAATTTGTGTTGTTCGATTTTAGGGTATATTTTTTTTTTTATTGTTGATTTGAATTAATATTGGTTGATTTTTAGGTGGTGTTGATTTGGATTGAGATTTGTTGTTGATGAGTTCATTTTTTATGTGTTGATGTCGACAATAGTGGTAAATTGATGAGTTCAAGGACATAGCCAGGATTCTTAGTGGCTGTGTTCAAAACATTTAAGTTGATAAATTTACAATAAAATTGTGTGGGTTTAATATAAATTTAAGTGAGGTCAAAATTGTAAATATTATAAAATAGAGTAAATGACTTTTTCCCACCCAAGGTTTACCTTAATGACACTTTCCCGCCCAAAAAGTTTCAAAATACTACTTTTCCATCCAAAGTTTATATTCCATTAATACCCAAAATACACTTTTCTTTCCCAGCCATCATTTGACGAGTTACCAAAAGTCAGGGTAAGACGGGTTGTGTAAAGTGGAGGCCGGTGAATCAAACGATGGTGAGCGATTGAATATTCACCGTCAAAATCAGTCAAAAATTAGCTAAGAACATAAAACCTTAGTTTTGTGATGGTCCGCAATTGGCAAAAAAATCAGGTGCCGGTGTGAGAGGAGTTTTGTAGAATAGAGGTTGGAGGTTCAAATGGTGGTGACGAAGAGAATTTTTGTTGCCGGAATCGGCTTTAGATAGTAATGGAATATTAACTTTAGGTGAGAAAGTTGTATTTTGAAACTTTTTGGATGGGAAAGGGTCATCAAGGAAAACCTTGGGAGGGAAAAAGTTGTTTACTCTATAAAATATAAATTTTTTTTTTTTTTTTTTTTTTTTTAAGGTTTGAGTGGGTTCAATATGAATTTAAGTGGGCTCAATTGAACCCATATGTTATAGTGTGGCTACGTCCCTGGTGGTAGTTAATAGATCTCACGAGAGTTGGAGTGTTGATTGGAGCTAGGCTCGGAGAAGGATTAGCTGTCGTAGTTAACAAATCTCACCGGAGTTAGAGGGGTGACTGGAGTCAGGCTCAAAGAAGAAAAAAGGTTTAGAGAGAATAGAGTGGATTTGAAGGAAGTAAAAGGTATTTTTGTCTTTACAGTGACGACATAATGTCAGTTAGAGGATTTTAGTAACAGATCTTAACGGTGGGTGGAAAATTGTTTTTATCAAACCTTTCAGGTGGGAAAATTAGTTACACCAAACCTTGGGTGGGAAATTGTCATTCTCCCCTAAAAAAAGCAGGGGGGGGGGGGGGGGGGGGGGGGGGGTGGGGGGAGGGGAGTGGTCGTCTACGAGAGATCGAAGATAAATGTTAACGCTTTTACAATTCTTTTACATGTAATATACAAGATTCTTCATAATTAAATTAATGCTCCACGATCTTCAACAGTAGTCCTTGGAATTAAATCCATATGAAAACCATGCTTTTTTTGGCTCTTAAATATGATTCCACATGTTGCATATTAATTGTCTTGGGAAATTAATCAGCCAGGAATGTTGTTTCAGAATTTCAATTACTTGGCTCATTGCAGTTCTACTGATAATCTGGGACCTGGACACGCATTGGCAAAATGGCTTAAAACATACGACACAAGAAGAATCTTGAAAGCCAGACATGAAAAAAGATATAAGATATAAGATACAAGAGAATCCCAATTGTACAAAAGCAAAACATGAAACTATAAAGATACAAAAGAAGGATTTGTACATATAACATAACATTATTAAGAAGAAATTTGTACCCTTTAATTATCAACTTACGTCTTTTGCCTTTGTTCCTATTCTGCAAGTTTCTGGTAATTGAATGTAAAAGCAATTTATGTAGAAGAATAAGTGTAGCCCCGACGGACAAGTTTTTCCAAACCAAGCAAATATTACAGGAGAAGGAAAAAGGAAGAAACTGATACCAAGCTTCAGGATCAAACCAAAAACCCACCTGTCAATTTTGTGTTGGAAATTGGAGCCTTCCGTAGAGCATATTAAACATCTCACTAGCAAAAGACTAACTGGACCAAAGTAATCACTTTGTTTTGAAGTCATCCATCTTGCCTTTCTATTTCAAGGTTCATTTGCTCATAGTTTTTGATTGTGTAATTATATCAAAGAGTTATTATCATATTCTTTAGAGTAAACGACATGTTTCCACCCAAGGTTTTGGCGAATCTACAAGTTCCCACCCTTGGTTTCGTAAATTCCAAATTCCCACCTTTAGATTAACACTGTTAGGGTCTGACATAGTATGGATCACTATGGAATATATTATCACCAAACTGGCCTTTAACTTTTGATTGTGGCGGCTAAATATTAGAAACCTCCCTGGAAGATGGAAGTTTGCCCATCACACCCGTACGAGCTAGGCAAACCCCAACCCACCACAATCAGCACCATAGATGGGCCAAAGCCACGGCAGCAACGATGCGAAGGAGACTAGAAGCGACACCCCTCACCATCGCCTGACCGTCGCCCACCAGGGTAGTCGGATTGCGCAATTTTTGTACTTTTCCTCGCACCAAGCTCCCCTCAAAACGCCCATGCCACAATCACCAAAACCCTTCACACTCTCGCCCCAATGCACCCGCAAATCGTCGATTGATAGCCCCTGCAATCTCGCATGATTCTCCAAGTTTATGGATAGATTCCAGGTGGTTTTGCCACTAGAAATACCCCCTTCCTCAACAAAACCCACACCTCCACTAGCCTCTCCCACTCATCGTTTACCGTCCACAAACTACCAAGTCGAGTTTCTATCACAGGGGTGCGATTGTCATATTTCAAACTTGAGATGTGGAGGCGCTTGTGAGAGAAATTTGAGATGTGGAGGATTATTTTAAAATTTTCATTTTATTTCAAATTTAATGCAATATAAATGACCAATTCACCCTTTAACCATTACTTTATATTAATTTAAGGGTGAGAATCTAGAATTTATGAAACCAAAGATGGGAACTTGTAGATTCGGCAAACCTTGGGTGAGAACGAGTCGTTTACTCTACTCTTTATATGCATTATGCAGTCATAGCACTCGCCATGAATGACCGATTCCATCTTTTAGCTTTGCCATGATGTGTGGTAAATAAAGACAAAAAAAAAAAAAAAAAAGTAAAACAAAGGAAAACATAGAAAAAAAAAAAAAAAAAAAAAAAAAAAAACAATAAGGACAGTTTAGTTCACATTGTCAAAAAAAAAAAAATTAACTAAAACAATTCAAATTTATTAGCAAAAGCAGTTCATATCAGCCAAAACAAAAAAAAGAAAAAAAAAGAAAAAAAAGTTCATCATAAACAAATCCTTCATCACTACACAAACTCCACCTACTCCTCCATAAATCATCAAACCTTACTCCCCCTCTTTGTTCATAAGGTTTGAACCAAATCTTCAATGTCGACTAGATTTTCTGATGGGAGTCTTTCCATTGGGAG